AATGAATAAGGATTGGTACCACCCCGTTAGAATAATCCAAATTTTACTCGAGATTCTGATGTAAGGATACTAACATTAAAAATTTTCTTAACATTACTCTTCCCTTCGGATGCTGGGCTGAACATGCATTGAACATTGCAAAGCCAAATTTGAACTATTAGAGCACTGCACCTGTCTCTTCCTGATCCCTCCAGCGAACCTACTCAGCCTACAGTTTTAGGAGCACAGAATTCAAGAACACATGACTTATGGTTACTTTACTTTCTGGTTACTACAGAAGAGTTATAAGAAAAAGAATTGATTTTGATTTTAAATTTAAAATATTTCATTCCATTAAAAATTAGGAATGTTCAATTTGAGTTTGGTTCAGCTTTCCATAGACTGATCCTGACCAGTATCTTAATTATCCTAATTCACCATTTTTATTTAAAATGCTGGAAATTAATTTGTTAAATTCTGATCTTGCCATTTTAAAGAAATAACCATTCGGATTAAATTAGAATCCCAGAAAAAGTCAGATTGAGATTTTATGGATTTTTACTTTTATGAGAAAACCCCTAAGAAGAAAATTGTCATTTCCCAATAGAAAAAGGATGGAGCGTCTTTTTTGAAACACCCTATATATGGTTCATATACAGACCCCCATATATGGTGCTAGGTTTACAATGTATATGACACTAGTATAAATTATACGCAAAAAATACTGTATTTGGAAACTGTTCAGTCCATGTAATGTCCATGGAGAGGCCTTCCATATGGCATGCCATCTAGCAATTCATTCAATAAATATAAAGTTCTCACAATATAAATGAGGTCGCGCTCACCCCGCCGCTGTATGTCTCCCGATTCCCCAAATGCTAATGAATGGTTCTACAGAAACTTTCATCCTCGACTCGATAATTTCCCACGTACAAACCGAAGGAAGGAAGTCGTTCTAATAGATGCATTTGTTGAAAGAAGTAACCTAACTTAAGGAGACTCCAGGCAATTCTTGCTTGGTGCATAGAGGGAGTGGGGTCCCACTTGTGAGGTAAGTCACAAAACGAGGAAAAAAAAAGAGGGCCTGTTCACGGTGTCGGATGCAACATCCAGAGTAATATTTTTAGCATACAAAATGTATCTAACTATATTATTGATGGCGAATCAGCATTTAAAGGCTGTAACAATTTCCTTTGGGCAATGACTGAAAATTCCGTAATGCGAAGTCTTGCACTCTCTGTTTGTTAGAGGTGTATCTATGTGCAATGACATTTCGTGAACCTCAGGTTTAAGTCACTTGCATTTAATGTTCACATATCTGTCATCGAGCGGATCCTAATAATTTATTTTCATGTTTATTCTATAGATGGAATGAAATCCTGGAATTAGTGTAAGTCACCCCAAGATGACAACACTTGAAACAGAAAATAAGCCTATTTTGTGACGGTGAATATGTGACAGGAAAGTGTCGGATGTGGCATGTTCTGAAAATGTATTTTGAAACGAGAAGTCTGTACATATATATATTAATTTTATTTTAAAGATATTCAAATGTGAACAACCGACATCTACTATTCACACCTGAGCTGATTTGAAATTATCAGTATAGATGGAAAGCCCATGCTGGTATCTCTTCCAGTAGTCTAATTCAGTCTCTCCAGATTTGCAATTTCACCACATTTTTTAGTATCATGGGTGTAGTATGAATAATATAACATAATCATGACTAATTCTTTCATTTTTCAATGTATCTCTTTCATTCATGTCTTCCAGGAAAAGAAATGATGAACTTCTGTAGCGAAAGTAATATTTGCATATTAAGGAAAATTTCCGGCTAAAATTCTAGGACCACTTGGCGTGGACAGACCCAAGAATGAAATTTGAGTGTTGGGTGACTCTGCCACTGAGCCTCTGCCTCAATCTTCCATTAATAATGTATGTGGGGGCCATCTATATTAATAAGAATAATAATAATAAGAATAATAATAAGAACCGTGTAAGGGACCTGTGAATATTAATATATAGTTACATATATCTAATATATTAAACATGGCCAAAACATGATATGGACTGAATATTTCCAAATATAGTTCCATATATCATTGTCACAAGTGTCATATACATTGCAACTAAGCACCATATAAGGGGCTTATATATGAACCACATATAGTTCCACATGATATGGTCTGAACGGCTTCCAAATACAGTCTCCCATATATACTTTTTATTTGTACAATGTAAATTCCGAGCTAAGCATCCTTGTATGGCCATATTTGATATCGCGCATCAAATCTGAATATGGAGTTTCTGTATGGGACGTTTCGACTAGTCTTTCTAGAATAGCTCTTTCCTGGGATTCAGGTCATTAATTATCGAGATGTCATGCTTCCCAGAATAGCCTGGCTCAACTGTCAAACCTGGCAACTCTGGGATTAGTGGCTGATTGGGAATCTAGCTGTTCCGAGTAAGATTTTCTAGGATTCTAGCCATTTGGATACATTCTGTCACAGACAGTCCTATAGGCTACACCACAGTGCACTTTAATACGATTGAATATTAATGACATGACATGTTTTTGCGAACGATATAATTGGCAGTTTACTCTGTGAGAATTTGGATGGTCGAAAAACGTGATGCGGTAGAAGCAGCTGTCGTTCAGTTTACATTACGAAGGAGGGAAGATGACCGACGAGCAAAGACTGCGCTCTTGAGGTATTCTTCCAGATACCGTCAGCGACAGACTTGAATGAAAGAGCGTGGTGACAAGGATGGCAAGAAATTGCGAGAGAAATTGCTTGGAAAGTAATTGAACGCGTGTATCCCAGGATGCTTAAATCACATACTTGTTTCGACTCTGACCTAGACCTGGGGCAGTCCCAGAACAGTCCTGGGGTTGACCGGGTTGCCCGGAAGCGCTTCTCGCAGCAAGCGGGAGGTGAAAGTCTATTTCGATTTATCCCAGAACCATCCCAGGATAGCGTCTCGGTTGAAACAACGCAAGCTAGAATTTTAGATGACAGCTCTTGATTGACAATAGCCATGGCCACTGTGGAGTATGGGAAAACAAGAAAACATTGTTCAAAGTATATAGCATATATATATGTATTATGCCTATTCATTTCACTTCAAGTGACCATGGAGTTCATCACAGGCCAAAAATGCGGGCGAGAAGCAATCTTGGAAGGATTCATGTATATGAAGCATTCTCAGGAGTTCCTTAGCGGAGTGGGACATATTAATCGTTACAAGAGTAATTAACATGTGGCTGTCGAAAGTCCCACCTGGCAAAATCGCTTCAAGAGCCATCAACATTTTTTGTATTACTTAATTTTTTAAATTCCAGAAATGCAATAAATAAGATGCATTTTTGCAGAATAAAGAAAGTAAAAATAAGAAAAAATCGGAAAGTATTAAAGTGGGCGTTTTTTCGGGGCACCGCAGGGTTACCTTCCCCTTGATCTCCGCTCTGCTTTTTAACAAGTCGAAAGATACGTCAAGGCCCTTGGTATTATCTGCGAGAAAAAGCCAGGGATGGATACGAAATCGATGCTGACTGACTTCGAGCAAGCCGAAATCAACGCGTTCGAGGATGTGTTAGCCGAACACCAAAGAACAAGGATGCGTTTTTCATTTCAATCAATGCATCTGGGGCAAAATGCAAGGATCAGGCGAACTGCAAGCGCAATACCAAAATGCAGAAGGTCCAAATTTTGCTTCAATGTTCGAAAAATCTCCACCTGGGCATTCGTTCTGGCTGAAGGCATTGAAAAGGCATTCAAAGATCTGATGAAAGCTCAATTTTTCGAGGATGAAAACAACGATGCCATCCTCGCCACGCTTACGAATTATCTCCAAGACAACAGGATTGGTCGACCAATGCGACTGCGTCGCACTCACAGAGCAACTTTCGACAAGCTCTGGAATCAGTACGAACACCTAAAGACCTTCCGAAGACAAAAACAAGCAACAAAGTAGACAGGTGACACAGCTTTGCGAGCCTCATTGCCTCATCTCATCTAGTTGATAATAACTAACCTCCAAAATTTTCTTCTCGAGATTTGAGTCGAAATGCTTGAATTCGAGAATATAAAGTTTGAGATCCTGCCCTTTCTAGTTTCTGTCTTTGGAAATTCTGTCCCGAATTCCCTCTAATCTCGTCCTTGCAGTAGCGTACCCAGAAAATTCCAATGGGGGGGGGGGGGGGGGGGGGGGAAAAAAAAAATTGGCGGCCCACCCCGCAAAGGNGGGGGGGGGGGGGGGGTTGACATAAATACATTGGCGGCCAACCCTGCAAATGTGGCCCCAAAATTAAATTTTTCTTGAGAATCGAACCTATAAAATGTATTCCAAGGGTGAGGGGTTATGACCCCCAACTTGGGCACGCCAGTGCGTCCTTGCAATTTCTAATCTTCCCTCTCAACTCCAACACTCCTAGGGACAAAATCTAGCAATAACCAAATTTACCCAAGTCCAATTCCAACCGGCACGTAAGCCTCTTGACTTCAACCGAGTGGAAAGCAAGGAAGCAAGATAGCAAAGTTCCGATTTACGAAACAGGGCACTAGCTGAAGTTAAGTCAGAAACATACTCCCCCAGAAACTTCAAGTAGAGTTTATGTTGGGTTTCTTACGTCAGTCCATGTCATGGGCAATACTCGAGTGGTGAGAGGCCGCAAGCAATATGGATTTTGCCAAAGTGGTTACGAATGACTCAGATAGAGATTCGACTGCTGATCCCTCGTGACAGCTGAAATGCGGAAAAGCTGTACATAAGCAGAGAGCCACCCATTTTTCTCCCCTTGTTGTCCTCTGTGATATTGAGTAATTAATTAAACGTTGCAATTCATTTCATTCCTTATTGAGAAATAAACCCGATGCATGATAGTGGATGAAAACCACTCACAAGAGCACTTCACAATAGTACGGAGTGCAAGTATTGTCAACGTTCAAGATGAGGAGGCAACCATATTGACTTCCTTTATCGAAATAACCCGAAAAACAACTGCTTTATTCAATACAAAATCCGACAATAAAGAATGCACCCGAACAGGTATTGCAAGTGAATGGAATATACAAAATTAATTCATTCAATTTCAGGAGATTCGAGAGGAAGGAATGAGATTCAGGCTTAGCTTCAGTACTTTCCCAAAACCATGGCAAGTAAGGCCATCCGAACATACATGCCATTTTCGGCTTGGCGCATGTAAGCAGCCCTGGGGTCTGTATCCAAATCAGGGGAGATCTCATAGACTCGTGGCAATGGATGCATCACGATCATTCTCTGCTTGGCTCCAGTCATCAACTCTGGGGTTACCACAAAGTGACCACAGGCCTGCATATGGATAATAAAAAAAAGGTATTTCCCCATCAATTGGCATTGCTATTATGGGAGTCGACTCCCATAACCAGTGTGTTATTCATTCATTCAGCTATACCCAGGGACTAGAAGAGGCAAGCTCTTACATTCTCGTAATCCTCTTCAGAGGCGAAGCGTTCTTTCTGAATCCGTGTCATGTACAGCACATCAGTGTCTCTAATAGCTTCTTCAAAGTTTGTCACTGTCACCTGAGCATGATAAAAAAAGTTCTTATTCAACGCCTTGCATACAAATATTTTTCATGAAAATTCCGAAGGTTTGAAACCTCCATACCTGTTGGATTCCACGAGAGGAGACATAATGCATGACCTCTGTAGGCATTTCCAGTCCTTGTGGCGACAGGTATTGAAGCTTGACATTGTAAAGAGTGAGAAGGCGAGCAAAGGAGTGAACTGTTCGACCATGTTTCAGGTCTCCGACCATTGTAATAGTAAGACCATTTACAGTCCCAATTTCTTCACGAATTGTGAAGACATCCAATAAGGCTTGCGTTGGATGCTCTCCAGTTCCATCTCCAGCATTGATGACAGGCTTTCTACTTACACTTGCTGCTCTCTGCAAAATGAGATTCCTCATCAGAATTTTATTTCGAAGTGATGTGATTCCAAGAGTGAAGCAAACTCACAGCAACAGCACCAGGTTCAGGATGACGCAACACAACCACATCACAGTAACCAGCCATCATGGCTACAGTGTCTAAAAAGATTGAAGAAGATAGCAGGAAGAGTGCCAATTGTTCTCACTGTCAAAGCTCCACATAAATCATGACCCCCAGTTGCACTCACCTTCAAGTGACTCTCCTTTGGCTACTGAAGAAGAGATGCTGTCCATCTGGATGATCCTCCCACCAAGCCGTTGCATTGCAGCTGCAAAGCTGCACAAGGTGCGTGTACTTACTTCATAGAAGACCAGGGCCATAAGCTTCCCCTATAGAAAAATGTATGGGAAAACCTTAATGTATTTCACTCAAAGAAATTTCAAGAGTGAGTGGTGATGACACAAATAATCCTACCTTCAAAACATGATCTAAGGAACGATCCTTCTGTACAGACACCATGAAAGACTGTGCAAGATTGAATAAGTAATGAAGTTGCTCCTTGCTGAAGTACAAACTGGAGATTATGTGATGTCCATTGAGACCATGTGAGCCAGGGCCAGTGTGAGAGTGAGATGCTGGTCCAAATGTACGTCCTCCAATAGGAGATCCAGTTAGAGAAGGCAGGTCTTCACCTGAAGTATCCAATAATGGTTGCTTCCGAGGTCCTTTTCCCATGTCCTCAGGTTTGCCCAGCCGCTGGATACCAAGTTCTTTGAGCATCACAGAGTAAAGTTCTGTCCAAAGTATCACAAAGGAAGAAACAAGTAGTAGTCATCAACAATGATACTTATTCACAATTGTGAGGACTCCACTAAAAAGTAGGAAGGGGAGGGCATCATAGGAAGGAACTAACCTTTCTGTTCTCCTTGCTTTGAGCTCTTCCAAATGGGTAAGGGACCGGTGTGAGAAGTGCGTGCACTTTCCCATTTCTTCTCTTGTTCAACTCCTGCTTTTGTTCCTGCTCCAAAATCACTGCTACGCACATTGTGTCCATATGCAGGAGCAGCAAGAACCTGCACAAATCATGAGAGCCAATAGGTTTGACTTCCCACTCCCATTAGGAATATTCATGACATTTAATTACTCACATTTCCATCAACATAAGCCACTTCTCCATGAAGAATGACACGATGAACACATCCTTGAACTTTGAAGCCAGCAAAAGGAGTCCATTTGGCTTTTGAGAACTGCATCTGAGTAGGCAAAACCCAAGATTTGTCCATGTCAATTTCCACATAGGTATCTGGTTGATCAGGCAGGTTGAAGATTCTCTTGGGGTTGTAATGCAATCGCTCCACCACATCCTGAGATCAACAAATAGATTATTTCGTACAATTTAACATTCCATTATGTAGCTCTCTAATGCAGTCACCCAAACAATCCATATGGGATAGCATACTTATGAGGAGGAATAGACACCCACCTGTAATGACAGTCTCCCTTCATTGACAGCAGTCAAAAGGAGAGGTAGCATGGTCTCCAGTCCAGGAAATCCAGGAGGACATTTCTCACTTTCCTTCTCCTCCAACAAGTGTGGAGCTAAGAAGATGACCATTGCAAATTAAGCATTTTTTGGTTCATACAGCAAACTTTCAAACAAAAAATGTTTAAAAGTTTCTACTACTTAAGACAATATAATTATACCATGGTCAGTGGCAAAGCAATCAATAACATCCAAGTTCTGCCATAGGGATTCCACATCTTCTGTACTTCCTAAACTTGGTCTCACTGAGCATCTCTTAGCCCCAAGTTTGTCCAAATCCTTTGTGCTAAGGAACATGTGATGAGGACACACTTCACATGTGATCTTGAGTCCCTGTGATAGAAGGAAATATGCCAATAAAAATCCAAACAAACTAAATGCCCAATGAATTGAAAGGGAACATTCACCATTCACCTTGCTCTTTGCAGCCTTGATGAGCTGAATCTCTTCCTTCCGCGCAACATGACAAATGTGAATTGGTCGATCAACCAAGCTGGCCATGAGAATGATAGCTGCCATGGTCTGACCCTCAGCATGGACACACAATGGTCTTGTCTGTGGCCAGCTCTCTAAGTGCTATCAACAAAGAAATGTTATGTGAGCAATACAAGAGGGTAATGGAAATACTTATACCCACAAGGAAATGTTCAAACATGACTTTTCAACATACTTGAATCCAACTTCCAATGCCACCCATTTGAAGAGCATTGAAGGTATCATTCAGGTACATCTTCAGGCCAGCAGAAAGTGGACAGAGGTCAACCAAGTCACTCACATTGTCATTTGTTGCTCCAAGATATATTGCATAGTCACATCGAGCACCTTTCTCTGCCATCTAAAGCAAAGCAATTGTATCAATGTGTATCAAATGTTACATGAATCAGATGGAAAACATTACTTTCATCTTGAAACATATGAAAGAAGTAGTTTCCCAATACACATAATTGAAATTAAAGAAACATTTGGTATAAAAATAGAGAAATGTACAGAAAAGCATACCGAGCAAACTTGTTGGAATGTACTTTGATTGACAACAGCAGGATCAGTGTTTGGCATGGCACAAAGCATTGTGATTCCTCCAGCCAATGCAGCAGCAGTTCCAGAGCTCCAATCCTCCTTGTGAGATGCTCCTGGTTCCCGAAGATGGACATGGACATCAATGAGACCAGGTATGACCAGGATCCGGTGTGAACTTAGGCAATCTACATGGCTCTTCACTTGGGGTGTTCTTCCCACCAGTCGGAGAGCCTGGAGAGAACAAACTATTTTAATCACACTAGCAATCAAAATTTTATTTTTCAGCAAAAATTTAAAACTGATGGAGTGATAAATTTCCATCAATTCAGCATTTGAAGCAACCCTGAAGCTAACTAAAGTACAAAACTGATGGCACTGGGAGGGGTCAGTGGGGGCACATACTACCCCTTCAATTTTCACAAAAGCAGCAAAAGTAAAGAAAAGACACATGAAATGCATGAGAACAGCATCCCAGAGTTCCCCCCTCACACATTCTTTTTCCATCCATGCTACACAGAACTGTTACAATGAAATCCAGCAGCTGGGAATCATGAAATCATGAATGAAATTGTGCAGCCCACAATATAAATAATCTCACTGTTATCTTCGTTTTCTGTCTTTTTTTTTTTAAGCCACAGGCTTCCCAGCTCATGTCTAGTAAGGAGCTAGACTAAGGGTGTTCTGGTGCATTGCCAAGATGCAGTACATCCCAAAATGATGCTGAGGAGGGCAACATTTTGCACTGTGTTTGAAACAACTGACCATGTGACTGACTTTGGCTAAATAAATTTTATATAGAGTTTTACATTTGATACACGAAATGTTTAATTTACTTTAAAATGGCAAACAGATGAAGATATAACTTTTTTTTGGCCACCTTCCACCTTGACACCATGTGGATTATTCCACTAAAAACTCAATCAGGCAGTGCACATGACCATCTCGAATGTCACAATTTAAATTCTCAGTGATTACAACCAACCTAAAAAGCTGGTTAAAATAAAAAAATTGGCTTCATTAGATCTGTGGTTAGTGAAATATAATTTATCTGTTCATCATAAAAAGGTGTGCAATTACTTCAACTAGAGCTCTGTAACAGGTGAATAAATTCCCTTTGCACATCATTAATGTTTGAATTGAATGTCAGTATCATAAGTGAATTTGAAAATGTGAAATTTATGTCATTTTTTACCCTCTCCCATATCCTTATATGGCAGGAAAAAAAAAGATGAATCTCTCAGAGTGATATAGACAGAGAAGGCCCACAGAACTGTTAACTTCCTGCCAACTGGGGTGAAGGAATACAAGGAGTGAAGGAATTTAACCCTTTGACAAGTATACCCATATGTATACAGGCAATGCCAGGTGGTACTACATGAGAATGCCCGTTTACATATGGGTTCATATTTTCAGGTGGTGTCGTGATGATATGTGTGGAATATCAAGTCATCTAGAACTTTCAGTGGAGGCAATGGAACTTGATATTTTTTGTCAGATACTCGATCAGGAGATTGTGAAGGTTATCATCATTGAGACCAACAGATATGCTGCACAAACTATGAATGAGCAAGAGAATGCAGAATGTGCAGAATCTAAAAAAAAACTCACTCTCATAGGTTCAACAGGGATTTAAAAACCTACCACTCAAAGGGTTAAAATGATAAAACAAAAGGGAGCACTCTCAACTGGCCACTTTTAATAAAAAGAGATGAAACCAACGTTTTGGAGATGCAAAGTCTCCTTCTTCAAAGAACGAAGGAATAAAGGAACTAGACAAGAAAAAAATTAAGTTAAGCGTTAAAAAAATATGAGGGAAAAAATGTGCTGGCAAATTGGTGAAAAAATTATAATAAAAATAGGGGACAAGACATGTGAGATGAAAAAAAAAATGAAAGAAAAGGGTGAAGGGATAAAAAAAAAGGATAAATAGGGGTAAAACACATGAACTGAGATCATCTCACTAAAGCAATAAATGAGAGAGTGAATGAGAAAAAAAAAGGGGGGGGGGGGAACCCACAGACCACCAGAATTCTTTCATTCTTGACTTAATTCACAAAGATTTCAAACATTTCTTTCATTCAGACGATCTCAGAGACTTTCCCACTTCCACCAATCTGGTCACCTTCAAAAGGCAAAAAAAAACCCTGAAAGATGTCCTCATATATTCGAGATCAACTCCCATTGAGACATCAGATCCCAGAAGTTTTCCCAGTTCTAGCAAGACCTGCTCTATATACCCTTACCTAGATGAGAAATAAGTTTTTTCATCACAGAGTGACAGAACATTCAAAATCCAGTCTCCGATGACCTGCTCTACCCCTAAAATAACTTACCTCATTAAATGGAAACTTTGCAAAGCACAATACATAGGGAAAATGGATAGACTATTTTCTGATCATGCCAAGTTGTTTTATGAACTATGTTTAGTTACTCTGCTCTTTCATGTGCATCAATAAATCAAGTTCCTCATTTGACTTTTTGTTGGCTATCTCAAGAAAAATTCACCACAAATTTCAAAACATAACCATATTAGAATATATTTCAATGTGGCTGACAACAGCTTGAGATCTTTCTGATGTCTAATTAGTTTTCTTTGAAGGTAAACAATTTTTTCTCAAAAGTTGCTTACTCTAAAATGTCACTATTGAATTGGCTGAAGTAGATTATGGCAAAGAGAACAGTAATGTGACCAAGTGGGATAGGAAGGTTCATTGCAGCAAGGTTTGGACCCCATCTCAAGATAAATGTATTTGATAGTATATGTACAATAGTACTCCAGCAATATATCATTTGGCTATAGCCAAATGATATATTCTTACTTACTCATGCCATCATATATGATACCATGAGTAAGTAACTAAGATTCAGTGAATAATTTCATGGTCCATTACATCCCTGCTGCATTTTTTCTTTTCTTAATCACCACATGAAGGCAGGCAAACTCATCTGTTCTGAGCACCAATGAAGAAAATATTTTTATGGATCCAACAAATTTACTAGCACATATCCCATTCATGCAGGAGGATGTAGATATCAATCAGCCTTGTCATTGAGGAACCCTGCATAAGCTCACCTGAATTTGACAGTTTTCAAAAGCTGAAAGAGACATGCACCTACATTTTCATAAAGGAGATCAAAACTAAGTGGTATTTTACTGAAAAGAAAGGGATGAACTGGATAGGATTCAACTCCAGCCAAGAATGAATCAGTCCTCAATGTGTCATGGCACTCCAACTTGAAGAGCTGAGAGAAGTTAGATTGCATAAAACGATTGTTACTATCAGAGACATTTATCTGGAGATGGGGCCCAAACCTCGCTGTAATGAACCCTCCTATCCCACTTGGTTACATTAGTGATCTATTTACCATAATCCACTGAGAAATTAGGATTGAATATGCCCCAGATCCAATGGAGGACCATCATAGAACAAGATTCACCTGTTTTCTGTCAATAGTTCGGCTCCTGATAACTACTATGATCGGTCAGGAGCCTTCAAAGATAACAAAAAGCAATATGGAGGATTGTCTGTGTGCTAAGCCCCTTATGACCTGATACTAGGTGACATTTTACTCAGTCAACATTATAATTGTTTTATATGGGAAGCAGTCAAGGTCCTGTATCACATCCAGTGTCAAGATAAAACAGGAAGTCTGGGCTTGATTAGGAATTCTGTTTCTGTGTTGTCTCATTGCCATGCCTCCAAGAGAATTGAAGGTGCCCTCTATGCCACCAATCATAGAGGTTCACATTCGTTGAGTAAAAGTGCAGGGGAGGGACATTAGAGTTAGGGCTATCACGATGGGTCGATGGATCGATACCACCATCGATGGTTGGTATCGATTTTTTTCTAAACCACCACGATATATCGGCAAAATTGTTGAATGGACAAATGTCCCACCAGATTGATTAGAGTATAGCACAGCCCATTTATTTAAGTACACAACTCAATCTCATCCGCTGCATGTCATGAACGTGAACTGTTCTCTTGATATCATGATTATAATGAGTTGCATTAAGCATGCTGGCAAAAGTTATAGTGTTTGACTTTTCGTATGCATTGTATCGTATGCACTGGACTTCATAAAATTGTTAAGCCACCAACAAATCAAACTGATAATTCGATGCACAGGAAGTTCACCTGGAGCTAAATGAGCGCGACACACTGATAGTTCACGATTTCAAGTGGTTGGCCTTTAACAATCTCTGGCAAGTGCGACCGTCCAGAAGAAAGGAAAATATTGGAGTACGCATGTTTTGTGAAATAACCTCGCGCTTATTCTCCTGAATGGAAAAGAGTATCGTCCAATTTCATCTCATAGAGAAGGGAAGCCCAAAGTTTCGTATTGGTGGGTCATATTTGAAATAAAAATAATGGTACCAGCTGGATAGCCACATAATTATATATAACTGAAAATTCTCGTAATGAGAAACGCAATAAAAGGACCCTTAAGGTACAAACCTGCATGCATTTTGTTTACTTGAGTGCGAAACGTGACGTGACATACCTTGCTCGCGGGATAGATCCGTCACACCCCTGGACACCCCTGTCCTAGAGCCTCCGGTTATCACCCGCGATGTTACTTTTCGCATGCAAGATATTTTAGGGTAGGTGATACAAATTCCGACCCCTTAAGCTCAAAATCCAACCCCCTCACCCACGGTTTGAAATTAATTTTTGGGGGATCCATGCCAATCGAGAGGAAAATCCACACTGCCCATTCACGTTTAGAGACCAAGCATTGGTGTAATTTGGTTGAAAAAGTCTGTTTGTACTTCTGATTACGTTGAAATATGTAGCGTGGGGGCGGACTTTATAGCAGGGTCGGAATTTGTATCACCCACCCTACTCGATATCTAAGTGGTCCGAGCATCGATCAGTGATACTCCTCGGCACACATTTCACTTCTTCTGGACCTTCTGGAGATATAGGGGAAGAATTCATCGACGATCCTGGATATTCAAACGCACCATTACCTTACCTTAAGTGATGAAATCTGAAGGGCTCATCAAATTGCTCATCCATACATGAAAGCTTCGAATGCGAATAGGCAAGCAACAAACAAATAAATTGGTCTTATATGGCAGATAGCAGCAGGAATGGGGAAATCAACTCATTGGTATTCTGGGCACTAAATGTACACGAACTGTTTCCTTTCAGTTATGATGGCAACTGATAATGATTAATTCATCACGTGAATGGTTCCTGAGGAGGAAAAAAGGCACTTTTCTA